GTGTGTGGGTGTGTGGGTGTGTGTGTGTGTGTATATAGAAATGTTAGTCGCCATCTGCTCTGCTAGGGTTTTGCCTGATGGCGAAACCCTGGTTTGATTCCTTCGGTCGTAAATCTTTTCTCTGGTGCTCGACGACGAACTTCCTGCACTCGACGACGACGACGAAGGGCTCTGCGTTCGTCGTCTTCGTGCTATACGACAAAGGGCTTCGGCGCTGTTTCCCTTTTCGAGCTGCGGTTTCATCTGCGGTCCCTGTCTGCGGTTCGCTCTTGTTTGCAGAAGGGCGCACCTTCTGCTCGCTTCCTGCCCGACAGAAGGTTTCCTGTTCGTCTGTCTGCTCGCTTCCTGCCCGCCAGACTATTCTCTCCTGTCTTGTGAGGGAGATGGCCTCGATGCTCCGTTCCTATGCAAATGCTCTTGCCGGCGACTTTCCTGCTATTGGTAAGTCCTGCAATGTTCCAGAATCTTTCCATGAGGCTCTTAAAGTTGGAGGTGATCACACTTTTATTAAAAAACTTGAAAAAAAATGAGAAAGCCTGCACTTATTCTCACAGAGGTTGAAATCAGTACTCTCGCGTCCTCTTGGGAAATTCTTTTATGGTCACCCAAAACTGGAGATCATTAGGAAGGTGTTTGATACTATGAAACTATTGGTGAAACTATTGGGCAGTTGGAACATAGTTGGAATATTGGCTTACTTGACGGTAGACATATACTTATTCAGCTATCTCATGATACAAAATACACTCGCATTTTCTCTCGTAAAACTATCAAGATTTACAACCATTTTATGAAGATTTTGAAGTGGACAGTCGGTTTTGATCCAAAAGCGGAGTCCCCTATTATTCCCGTTTGGATAAAGTTTCAAAGGTTAAAATTACATCTTTTCAACATGAAAATCCTCTACTCTTTAGCAAGTGCTTATGGTAAGCCTCTCAAGGTGGATAGTCCTATGCTTGCTGTCACTAGACCCTCTTTGGCTTGTGTGTTAGTTGAGAGAGATATCACTCAACCAACTCCGGATGAGATATGAATTGACACTATGCATAACGTGTATTGGCAAAATGTTGAAATAGAACTACATCCTCCTTATTGCTCTCATTGTAGTATGTTTGGCCACAACTCTACTATTTGCTATCGTTTGCATCCTCATCTAAGGACAAATATCGCTAAAGAACAACCACCTACTATCCCTGTTGAGAAGATGCAACCCGATCCTCTTCCCAACACTGCAGTTCCTGAAGAAGAACAACATACTACAGCTACAGATCCAATTGTGCTTATACTATCCATTGTTATTGAAGAAGACCCACTCACATGTCAAGACACACGAGAGTGCTCCTTTACAGATTAGGCGGTACAACATGTAGTTGCTTCTAATGTCTAACAATTTGCACATCTCTAGCACACTATAGACTAAGATCAGGTGAGCCAATCTTCGGAAGAGGAATGACGTGTCTATTCCAGGAGGAAGAAGAATGAAGGTCGACTCTAGCTCGAGAACATATTGGATGATACATTGGTTACTACTGGCAATGACAATCATCTTACCAACTTATTAGCTTGCTCCTTTCCCAGAACCAGAGGCAGAGACATAACCAAATTGGGTTGCACTCTAGCCACCTAATACTATGTATTTCTGCATTTTTAGGCTTTTTCAATATGTCTCTAATGTGCTTTTCAGTATTTTCTAATTGTGGAACCCCTTGTGGTTTTGTTGTGAGCAAGGTGCCATGTTTGGGCCCTCCATCACATTGTATCTGTATCTTTCTTTTTAGTTAATATATTAGCCTTTTTGGGCTTTCAAAATATATATATATATATTAGATTTAACGACAATCATATCTCTAGTCGTTATTACTTATTTTCTTTTTTATTAGAAAGGAAATGTACAGATTGGTTGGATGAGAGGGTCCAAACTGGAACCCTAAGTACTCGGTATACAACACACACCAAGGTCCAAAAAAAGTATATGTATACCCAAAAAATAAAATTATAACCTAGGCAAAACTCTACTCCAAAAGTTTCCAAACACTCGAAGATTCAAGCATAAAATGGGAGCTTGAGAACGACCTAATGTATCCTTACCTCTTACATCTGGTTCTAGGTAGGGAGTCAGCTAACAAATGATTAAGTCTACTGTCATTACCTGAAACAACCAATGTATCTTCATTAAGTTTCTGAGTTCTAGTAGACCGCTATTATTATTCTTCTTATTCTTGGATGTGTAAATCTGTCATTCTTCGTTCGAAGACTGACTCATCTGATCTGTGGATTCGTCCAAAGATTTTCGGGCATGTGTAGGCTGTTGCACATCATGAGCCCCTTATGCCTGAATGACAGTAACGACTTGCTCGATTTAATGAGGTGGTAGGGCCGCAGTAGAAAACTCACTTAGGGTGGAATGTTGGACTTGAAGCTGGGGCACACCTAGGGCTGGACACTCCACCACGAGATTGCCAATCGTTACATCAATGATAGGTTCTAGAGTTGGTGAAGTATGAAAAGTCTCCTCTGCCACCATCAACAAAAAGTTCCACAGGAGGAATCAAAGGACCTTCATCTTGAGAATTATGTGGAGGCTGAGTAATTGAAAGATTGCCGACGGTAGTGGAACCTACATCAACATCGGCCAGTGGACTAGATGTTACGGTTACCACAGTGTTATTGGGGTCAGTGATATCCTTGTGATGAATAAGAGTGTCAGTAACTTGGAGAAGATTAGGAGGAGAGATCTCTAAATTTGGCCGAGCACTTTGTTTTTTTGGTTTAGAGGGGGGGTATAGGCGATGACATTGAGAACTGGAGTGACCAAACATACAACAGTGAGAGCAATACATATGGAAAGACTCAATAACTACCTTTTGCCGATATCCTTGGTATTGTGAGCCTAACCAAATTTTCTTAGGAGCGATTAAAGTGGTGTCCCTTTCAACAAGCACCCTGACTTCTGAAGAAAGTGAAAGATTTAAAGCAGTAATTTCCATTTTGAGTGGCTTATCATAAACTAAAGCAATAGAGTATAACACTTATTGATTAAAATAATGAAATTTCAAGCTAGGAAGATGAATCCAAACCGGTATGATTGGTGGTTCCGTCTGTGGGTCAATATCCACAGTCAATTTCATGATTTTCATTGCTCTGTTATCAATCCAAACTAGTCTTCTAGCAAATAAGTATGTGTAATCCTATTCATTGTTAAGTTGAATAAGGTTGTGCCGCCCATCTAAAAGTCTAATTTTCCACTCCCTAAGAAGGTGCATAAGCTCAAATTTCTTACGAACCAGCTCCATTTTGGAATTACCATAAATAAATTTTCTGACCAAATTCAGACGACATGAGGAAGCAAACAGATAACGTTCGATTTCAGTAAAAAAGATGGTTTTTTATTTTTCCTACCAGCTTTCTTGATGTAACAAAACTTGCCAACCTCCAGCAGCGCAAAAGAAGGCGGGAACAAACTTTATTTTTCCTACACTCGCAAGGGAAGCATCATAAGTTCCGTCCGAAGCCATTGCCGGTTGAAGGAGGCTAGACGTTAGGAGCAGTGAAGAATGCAGTCAAGGAAAGAGCAAACGATGAAGAAACGACAATTAGGGCAACAACAACACGACGAAGGAAGAAAGCACACGAGGTTGAAGAGCGAACCCCTTCTTCTCGAGCACGACAAAGCAATGAAATCGAGGAAGACTTGAAAGGAGGAAGGTGATTCAATGTGGAAGACGAAGGAAGTCTTCTTCAAATGAGCATGTTGAAGGACGAAGCAGACGAAGTTGAGGCGCGGACCCCTTCTTCTTCGAGCACGACGTAGCGACAAAATCGATGAAGACGACGAACGAGGTAGGTAATTCAACAAAGCAGACGATGGAAATTGGCATCAGACGAAACCCTAGCAGAGCCTCTCGTGATAAACATAACGATTTATATATATATATATATATATAGTTTGTCTGTGTGTCTATGTGTCTGTCTGTATGTCTGTGTGTATGCCTGTATGCCTGTATGCCTGTATGTTTGTTTGTATCTGTATGTATGTATGTATGTATGTATGTATATGTATATGTATGTATCTGCATGTTTGTATGCATGTATGCATGTATGTATATGTATGTATGTACATACAAACACACGGACGTACATATGTACACACATACGTGCATATATACACACGTACGCACATACGTACACGTACAGACATACACGTACACGTACGTACACACACACACATACGTACACACAGACATACATATATATATATATATATGTATGTCTGTGTGTACGTATGTGTGTGTGTGTACGTACGTGTACGTGTATGTCTGTACGTGTACGTATGTGCGTACGTGTGTATATATGCACGTATGTGTGTACATATGTACGTCCGTGTGTTTGTATGTATGTATGTATGTATGTATGTATGTATGTATGTATGTATGTGTGTGTGTATCGCCAGCCTTGGCCTGTTGGTAGAGCTGCCTCTTTGAAGGTCATAAGTCCCCTTAGATCACGGGTTATAATCCCCCTTCTGGCCAGTTTGCCTGTTGTGAGGGCGGTCTTCGAATAGTTAGGCACTCGAGGGTGGCTGGGGGCTCGTATAATAGCTTATGTTTGTATGTATGTCTGTGTGTGTGTGTGTGTGTGTCTGTACGTATGTGCGTATGTACGTACGTGTGTAGGTATGTTTGTACGTGTGTACATATGTACGTACGTGTGTACATATGTACGTACATGTGTATGTATGTATGTATGTATGTATGTATGTGTGTGTGTGTTTGGAATCGTCGCCAGCCTTGACCTGTTGGTAGAGCAGCCTCTTTGAAGGTCATAAGTCCCCTCAGATCACGGGTTAAAATCCCCCTCTGGCCAGTTTGCCTGTAGTGGGGGCGGTCCTCGAATAGTTAGGCACTCGAGGGTGGTTGGGGGCTCGTATAATAGCTTTCGACCATTCTTTTGAAAATATATAAGTGGAGCTAATGAAGAGAGTCAGGTCTTGCTCAGGTGCAATAGGTTGGAAGGATAGGCTTGGCATTTTGATTCTTAGGAGCAGAGCATCTAAGGTAATGTTGACCTCACTTTGATACCAAGTTGAGAATTCAACCTTTTTTTGTATATTTCTAATTGGTATAACACAGATGCCTATATATAAATAATTAGAAGAACAAAGAAGAAAGATAATTATGGGCATATCTTTACTTATACTGATGTGTTACGATAATTAAAGCATTTTTATAATTTGAAAATTTTTCTATGATTGCAAAATTAAAGTTTCATTTTGGCGTGTGAAAGGGCCATGTAAAACTCAAATAATGAAAACATGAGGGCATTACAGCTTGTAATAGTTCTAATCATTGACAAATGATAAGAATTGCCATTTTTTTGGTACGAAATTTTCAATAATATGAAGAAGGTGGAGAACACATTGGTTCAAGTATACTCTTTTGCTTGATATTTTTGAGTCTTTGCGTGTGAAATATTAAGAAATGTTATGTAGATGGAGCATTTGTTCATCTTAGACATTTATTCTGGATGTGTTGTATGCTTGTGGCACAACAGAATTATTACTTTTCGTTGCTAGTGATATCATTGCATATGCAGGATTTTTTGTCTGTTAGGTTTGAGTTGGGTTTTAATGTGGCATTAATACATCCTAGAATATTCTAGTTTAATGCCAACTAAGTGAACTGAAATTTCTACCAAATGTAATTTGCAGTCATGATTTCTGTTCACAAAGAATTAGCAATGGCGTTTCCCAACTTGATTACCATCATTGTGATGCGACATCCCCAGCATGGAAAACAGTTAGCCCAAGTATGCTTTATTATTCCTCTTTGTATGATACAGCTTCACCATACAATTATGTTGTGAAGAAGCTTTCCCATTCCTAAGGCATGCATTTCTTCAATACTAGCTTTGTAGAGTTTGAAGTTTGACACAAAGCAGATGATCACAAAAAATTTCATCTGATGATAATGATTTGGAATTTAATGAAAATCGATTAATGAATTAGAATCACTTTCTATCAAAATTTAGGAATCTGATCAATATTTTTTTTTTGTATGATGCAAGTTAAGCTTCTTAGAAATAGCAAAAGCATCTAATGGTAATTTCTTAGCATTTTAGATTGAGGGTAGTTAGGGTAGACAAAGTACCATTAATGGTAAGGGAGAAGGAAAATATTGGAGTGCATTAACTAACTATGTAGTACATTTTAGTTATTGGAGTGCATTAACTAGCTAAATTTCATCTGATGATACGAACAACCCATTATTTTTTACTCTAATATCAATTGAAGTACATTTTAGCTAGTTTTCTAATCTTGCAGCAATTTTCGTAAGTGTTTTTTGGTTCAGTTTAATTAAACAAATCTAATAATCTTTAAGTAGAATACCTATCGTATAATGTTCTAACTCATTTATGCTAACCCAATTAATCATATTTTGATGCATTCATTATTTTACAAAATTGATGTTTCTTTATGAAGACACTTTGGCTCTGTTTGGGATTGCGGCGTGAGAGCGCCGCGGCTTGATCCCGTGATTTTCTGTCGTTTGGCGGTGCGTCCCGCTCGCGGCGTGACGCAATTCGGGTATAAAGCCGGCCGTGGGATGGATTTAGCGACACAGCTTTCTCGATCGGCTTTTTATGCATTACCCCTCATCGAGCTCATCGAGCCTCCCCCTCCCTCCCCCTCCCTCCTTCGTCTTCTCCTCCATGTTCGTTCGGCTTGTTACGCGGTATTGTTGCAGTATCCTCCTTCCCTTCTCTGGCAGGCGACCTCTCTCACTGGCAACCTCACCGATCTGCTTCCTCCTTTTCGCCGAGACCTCTTCCGCCTAAAGCCCTAGCCGGACTTCTCCTTTCTATTTTCTTCTTCCCCAAAACTTTTGAGGTGTCGAAGGTTTTACTACTCAATCTTAGTTGCCTTTCCTTGGATTCGTCATCATAGGTCCGATTTTCTTGCTTTAAGCTTCTTTTCTTAATTCAAATTGTTACACGGTTCTTTCCGCTATGTTTTTTGTTCACCCATGTCTCTGATGAGGTTTGCAAAGGCTTCTCCAGCTTCGAGTTGATGAATTTGTTTGGGCGCTGACTGCTCATCAACTTTTGGTTTTGAAGCAGTTAATTCTTGCTTCTATGATATGAATACTTATGCTCTTTGAAATTCAAGTTTGAGCTTTTCTAGGATGCTTAACTTAATTGCAGCAAAATTATTAGGATAGGTTTGAGAATTGAGTGGAGATTGATAGGAAGCACAATGAGGAAGCACAATGACATTGTTTTATCTTTATTGTTATGTTTTGAAATGAATTTTTGGTTCCGGATTATCAAATATGTCGCTATCATAGTTCTGTTTTAAACAACTTCACTAAACATGGGCAAAATGGTCATTTTTTCAGAAATAGTTGTCCCACAGTTGTTTTCACACAGTTGCAACAAACAGACAACCAGCTTCCCCGCAATACCAGCTTCCCCGCAGCAGCTTCTTGGGGCAGCACAGCTGCAGCTGCGCCAAATAGAGCCTTTGTTAAGTATTTATGCTATTCTAAGTGTGTGATGGCGATTTATCCATGCTTTTCAACCATATCATATGCAGATAACTATGCTCATGTTTTTACATCACAAAAGGTTTCTTAACTGAAGTTCTCTCTTTGTCAGTCACCTTAATAGATTTAATTTGGTTAATACATGCTATATATTCCTTTATGAACTAGACTGCAAGTCAGGCTGATTAACTTGTTTAGTGTTTGATTCCAACAACACACTTAAGCCTTGTAGCTGTTTATTCTTTTTCTATACATCTATGTAGTAAATTTATGCTCGTTCTCTTTTGTTTGATCAGGCACTACAGAAAAGAGGGATGCTTGTGGCATTGAGATCTAAAAGTGAGATGGTTTCTCCTTGTATACATGTTTATGTAGTGGATACTTTAGGTTGGTTCTCCCTACTTCGCAAACTTCTATTGTCAAATGGTTCCTTTTTTTTCTTTTTTTTTGTTTCGTATTTTTTCCTGCTGTTTTATTTCTTTGTTTTTTGTTTTATTTTTTTTCCCGCTAGATTGCTCTTTATTACCCAATCTTACTTATTTGCATTTTCTCCCTACATCAAGTTCCTTGTTTCTTTTGCTTTCATTTTTTTCATAAACTCTCTCTCTCTCTCTCTCTCTCGCTCACTCGCTCGTTGATTTTTCTTTTTTATGTTCTTCATAGCTTGTTGCATTTTTAGGAGCAAATCATATTGTAATAACAATTCATGCAAATTTATCCTCTGCTTGTTAATTACCTAATTTTGCTAAATAAATATTGGATTTGCTGAGCTAACTCTTTTATATTTATGCTGAGTTGCTGCAGCTAGTAGATGCTAGTTTTGGAGTCCTTATAGACATATTGATGCTTTCATTCTAGAATCGAAAGTGGTGTTCATAACACTTTTATAAGGATGAGACCTATTATTTTGAATTAAACTTAGCACTAAGCTATCAAAAACTTGAATGACTTTTACTTGTCCCCCGCCCAACTTCCAAATTATCAAAAGTGATACCTAGCATGGGTGCCTAAAAGGATTTGGACTTTCTTCATGCTTGGATTGAATGAAATTAGCTTCTGATATTTACTTTTTTTTGTTATTGATATCTATTTTATGATATTTGGATTTATCCTCTATTAATTAGGTTGAATTATCCTATTGATATTCATAGATTTGAATTGATGTTATATGATATCATTTAAGTCAATCTAGTTAAAATTCATTCCTTTTGAATTAAAATGTTATCCTATTTTCTATAAATTAGATAAGAATTTCTTAAGATTCTATCTAAGAATTGAACTCAAAAGTTATCCTTAAATCTCTTTTCCTCTTTCCTCTTACATGTACCCTTCTCTCATAGGATTTATCTGTTCCTTTTCTTTTTTGGTTCTTTGTAATTGAATCTGGCCTTTTGATATCTTCTCATCCACTTACCTAGTCAACTGCTTTAACCATTTGCATTGATTCCAATTGCAATCCTTAAATAGCCATTACACCTTGTATGTTTTATGCTTGCATAGCCACATTACAAAGAGATAAATAGCTCTGCTAAAACTCTACAACTGCCTATTGTCCTCTACAAAATTTTCTAGGAAATTTTTGCATGTTTTTGAGTTCACTTAATATCATACTAATATTTTTTTTGAATTAAATGTATTGCTTAATTTTTTATTTCATGAACACTTTGTAACCATATTGGCAAAGCATCATTACACTTCATTTTTGTGCTCCTATAGATGGCATAGTCACATTATATAAATCATATATCATTTCACCTATGCATCATGCGCTTGTAATCAATTGGAAGAGTTCAATGCCGAAGCAACAATTTGATAGTGTACATATAGATGCAACATGTTGTAAGGTACTTAAACAAATTAACATGTTCCTTCTATAGATGCAAAAAAAAATCACTTAACATTTAGTTGACACAAGCTGGTGTTCATAATATCACCAATATAATTGATATGGTTTGTAATCTCATGATAAAATACAATGATGAGAATGAATTAACTCATTGAATAAGCATATATGAAAAACTTCAAGAGGAGATCGAATTTTTATTACTATCATTAGTCTATGTTTTAGAACCAAATTTGACGTATATGGTTAGTTATAATTTTTCATTCGCTGATAATCTAGGAATTTTTTTGACATTCCTATATCTTATTGTAGTGATGTTAAGAATTTATCCTCCTCAAATTCCGTCTGACATTCTGATATTTTCCTTATACTTTTCCCAAGGAAACATGCTAGCCTTTAACAAGCCTCCTTGGAATGACATTATACATTAAGATTGCAACCATTAATAAAAACTAGGGTTGATGATCATGATGATTGTTATGGAAGGATCAAAGTCGTTTGGTTTTCTTTAGTTTGTACAACCTTGATGCATATTCTTATTGATAATAAATGTTGTAGATTATTTTAAATTAACGAAAGTTTACAAAATCATATGAAAGTTTCTCTTGCTCATGTCAAATTAACTAGGTCTGCTAAATGTTTTTGAGGGCAAAATTATAGTGAGAAAAAGTTATTGGTTGGCGGTTCAACATTAATTTGATTAAAAAAATATATAATTTGTATCATAATTTTTTCCTATATATATATATATAAAATGAGACAACTGCTTATCAAATTTCATAAGCTACATACCTTTCAGTGTAATTATATGAATAATTTTGATGAAATGAAGATTTGTAGTTATAGAAGATAGTTGGGTTTGAAAACGTGAATTTTATAAATGTTTTCAATGTTAGCCCTCACATTGAAGTACTTACGATCGTACTACATTTGAAGATGACATTCATAGAGCTTTTAATGCAAATTAGTACTTGGAAAGAAAAGCAAATTGATTGGTCTCGGACCACCTTCTCGGTCTATCTTTATTGCAACTACACAGTCTAAGCAAAACATACGACAAAAAAAATATTTTTCAAAGATTTTCATTGTTTCTGAAGGCCTTACCTAGTAAAAATAAAAATAGACTGCAGTGCTTCTCATGTAATCAAACAAGTTATAGTGCACCTCATCCATGTTCTGGTGATGAGCAATTTAATTATGATTAATCTCAAGATCATGTAGTTGCTGTTAGACGTTGCTCACTAGGATTAACACTAGTGAAGATTGGGAAAGAACTCATATTTTCTATGGCTATGATTCTTGTAATAGAAATAAATACAAATTAGTCAGAGAAAGGAGTAATATGAATGTAATGACTAAAACCATCTTGATATGATGCAATATGAAGGTTGGGCTACATCTTCGTTCTTTTGATGTTGTGTAGGTCAATAACATGAAAATGTTTTTTATTTGTTCGATTGGGTAGTTATTCTTATATGATTAGGTTTAACGACCCATGCATGTTGGTAGGTCACCTATCACTTTATGATGTGAATTTTATTCTGATATAGCTAATATTTATAATTTCAAACTTAAGGAACCTAACATTTAATTGAAATCATCTACACCTTTACAATGAGCAAACAAATACCTTCTAACCCAATCAATAGAGCAAATTTGAAAATCACTTATAAACTAAGCCTTTAGTAAAAATCTTGGCCCATTTAAAAGAGATGAAATCTTCCATTCTTACTAATCCTATTACAATTGTTGTGTCCTCCTTATCTAACAAATTTTCCTATGTTGCATCATATTAAATGCCTAATTTCTTACCATCGACATAGGATATTTGGTATGGAATAGATATGGCATCAACCAAATCAACCTCTTTATTGTAAACCCTAAAGAACATGTTGAATTAAAACCTTAAGTCATCCTGCTCTTCATCTCATACGCTTCAACTTGGGATTGTGGCACTCTATTTGATTGATTTTGCAATCATGGGACGCACCCACCTTATCTTCATCGCAATTGTACACACATGTGAGTAGCACTCTTGCTACTCCGTCTTTGTGATGTGTGTGCCTTGTTTTATGCTAAGTTCTCCTTTCACACTGACTTTGTTCTCTGCTCCCATCACGTGTACCATGCCTTTTGTGACTTCATACTATCGCGCTTCATTTGTTTGTTGGTTATGTGTATGCGAATCCACTCATTATCCTTTGCTTTGTTCTTTTTCTTTTGTTTTCCCACAATGAATTCATGTAACATTGTAGCTTCGATGGCATCCTGCCTTCGCCTTTCTTTTTGGGTTTTGACTGACTTCCTTGGGTGTCTTTGTCATACCTTAGCTGATCCCCCTATCTGGTCAACTGTGAAGTGACGGAAGTGAACGACAAAGCAGACAAAATCCTCATCAGCACTCGTTCTGACTTGCAAATTAGGACCCAGTTAGTAATGAAGTGGTATAACTCAATCATCACAAATTTTCATAGTTCATTTACATTCTCATATATTTGAAAGCGTGGACATCATGTCACCAATATATATATATATTAAAAAGCCCAAGGGCTAATATATTAAAAAGGAAATGATACAGATAAGCATCCAACCCACATGCACAACACAAAAAAAAAAAAAAATAAATCAAAACCTAGGGACGACCCAATTTAGTCCTGCATCTGCCTCTAGTTCTCGGAAGGGAGCCAACTAACAAATTGGTGAGGTGCATACCATTACCCGAAGTAACCGAAGTATCATCCATTAGATTCCTGAGCTCCAGTAGATCTCCATTCTTCTTCTTCCTCCTGGATGTGTAAACCTGTCATTCCTCATCCGAAGATTGACTCATTTCTTGCTCGTTCAGATTAAGTGGTAGAATCGTAATTGAAAGATTGCCAACCGTTATAACCACAATAGGTTCTAGTGTGTGTGAAGTATGTGTTGTCGCCTCTGACCAGATACTGCCTGAAGATGAGGAGCTGCAAGGCTCTGTTGATTATCGGTCTAAGCATTATCCTTTGTAGGTAAGGGTCCTTCGATATTGTTTTCAATAAGGTTTGAAGGTGTAAGTTGCCCAGCAGAGCCATCCGACATCACATCAATCACAGAAACAGAAACAGTATTGTCAGCGGGGGGATCCACAGGGGCAATTAATCAGATACTAATTCTTGTCTTGTGGTAATTTCCTCCACAGGTGGACCAGATGTGTCTAGAGCAGTGGGGTTAGACTCATCCTTATTCACATGAGCTTTAGTTTTTAAATCAGGATGAAACCTATGGCATTTATCAAGGGTATGCCCAAACATCTTGCAGTGAGTACAATAAAAAGGTCTATGTTCTATGACAATTTGTTGTCAATATCCATTATGAGTTGTGCCCCATTATGAGTTGTCATTATGAGTTGTGCCCAGCCAGACTTCAGTAATATCAGGTAAAGTAATATCCTTTTCCACATGTATTTTGGCTACAGAAGGTCTGGTTAGATTAAAGGTGGGTAGATCTAGCTTCATAGGATCCTCAATATGGTAGAGAACCTGATAATTAAAGAAATGCAGCTTGAGAA